GTGCGTGTTATACGCCGGTGCGTGTTATACGCCGATAAATACGGTATTTTCCAAAGATAAGTAGTGATAGGCTAATTTACTATTATGCCCTATTCTCTGTCAAGTGAACTGTTAAGATTATCTGAATTGGGTCCAAAAATCATTAAAAAATGGAGATTATCATAGCCTTATAGATCAATAATTATCAAATGGAAGGACAAGGAACAAATATGGAAGTCTTCTTCCAGAATAGACCAGAGATGCAAGAAGTGGGAGAAAATGGCAAAACAATCTTTTTAGTACTTCTGCCAGCAATTAAAAAAAAGTGAGTAGTGTTTATAGTAAAAAGGATAAATTTATATTACATGCTTAAAGCTTTAGTAATTATTTGCTGGCAAAGTATTCTTGTAGAATTGGTATTAACAAGTTACATATATAGCATACAAATTTCCCAAAATTCAGAATTCTCCTGACACTTTTTATTTTAATGTAAAAGAACAGAATATCATTGCATCATATCATATTATTCTTATATCATTACACAGTGATATTTTTTTTACCTTAAGTGACTGTCGTTTTGTTACATAATTTTCTGAGTGGAGCAATTTTTCATATTCACTGAAGAACTGGATAGAAGAAGAAAAATAATTATGACCTTTCCAATCAAAAGAATGATCCCAAATGACTCATTTAATTAAAAATAATAAAAACAGAGAGGACTGGATGCGAATCATAGAAACCGAATTTCAATGCATTTAGACTGTTCTAATTATTTTTTAACATTTTTCTTGTGCTACATATACAAAACCTCTGAATAGGTATTCTGCAGCTGATGGGAGTTTTCAGTTAATTCTTCAGGCAATCATACACCTGAGCTTATAAACAAACAGCTTTATATTTTTATCATTACCTATGGCCAGTAGATGGAGCAAGGTTGTTTTATATATATACATACTTGTCATATTAGCATGACTACCAGGAATGGCAACATAGTGAGAGTATGTTGTTTGCTTCTTACAAGAACAATTTTATTTTTAGCATGATCAAGACAATTACAAGAAATTCCTGTCCAAGTCTAAGAAAAATCCTTACATCCCAGGTTCAACTTGTATTGGTACAATAAACCAGAAAACGCTGAAAATAAAAATATTTGTCTGGACAGAAAATGTTTCATTGTTTTTCACTCTTTTATTTTATGATTATTCTGATAGTTGAAAAAAAAATGTAACAAAGAAATAAAAATACATACCCTATCATAATGCTGTTCCAAAAATTCTGCACTCAGCAATTTGTGCCTTGTAAGTAAATCCTTAAAATAAGAAAATATGCTGTTATTTAAAAGATATTCCCTCTCCTTATAGAAAATTTCAGGATGTTTGAAAGCAATTTTTAACATAAAAATGGTCCTCGACTTATGACAAAATTGAGCCCAAAATTTATGTTGCTAAGTGAGACATTTGTTAAGTGAGTTTTGCCCCATTTTACAATCTTTCTTGCCACAATTGTTAAGGGAATCACTGCAGTTGTTAAGTTAGGGACATGATTATTAAGTGAATCTGGCTTTCCCATTGACTTGTCAGGTCACAAAAAGTGATCACATGATCCCAGCACACTGCAGGTATCATAAATATGAAACAGTTGCCAAGCGCCTGAATTTTGATCATGTAGCCATGGGGATGCTGCAACGATCCTAAGTGTGAAAAATGGTCATGTCACTTTCTACAGTGTTGTCGTAATTTTGAACAATCGCAAAAATAACTGTTGTAAGTCAAAGACTACCTGAATTCTTTTCCATTTAGTTAATTATTTATATGCCATATAACTCAGTTGAAGCTTTTATCTATTTTGAGGAAAACTAGTACAACCATAATTTTAGTACAATTTTCACTTGAGTAGGGATGGAGAACCTGCAGTTCCTCCCCTCTCAATATTACCAAGTTTGTAATTCCTATAAAACCTCATCATTATGTTGCTGGAATTCAACAGCTGAAATGCCGCATGTTTTTGCTTATCTCTTTTTTTAAAAGACTGGGGTACATTTTAACATTGGTGTTATTTCTGTAATTTTAATAATGTTATTTGGTAGCTGTCTGATTGATTCTTTGATATATTTTCCAAAATGAATTACAGCAGTTATGATATACACTATATTGCCAAAAGTATTCGCTCACAACTGAGTCTGATTATGTGGATGGGTGAGCAAATACTTTTGGCAATATAGTGTAAATTTTTTAAGTGTTGTCAAATATAAACAATACAACCTTGAAAGTGGCAAATGCATCTGAAGCAATGTCGAATGTTGACATTTCCACATATCTGAAGAAGTCGTAAAACTGTTCTGACCACAAGATTATTTTCGCTAGTGGTTCATGTCTGATGCATTCTCTTAACATGATTCCACAATTCAGAGCGATTTCTGGAGATTCATATCTATTTAGGTAAAAAATATAGTATCAACAAAACAGTCCTATAGTCAAGGCAGGTATTTAATGTATGTCCTAAATTGACTACTAAAAATATAAGTTCATATTTACTGGAACAACACTTCTGTTTCATGAATGTCTGTATGTTCAGACAGAAATCCCTCCTAGTTTTTCATTTATCTTGTAAATGGACAGGCTTCATACATGGAAACAGTACCAGATAAATGCTATGAAAACAGCAAGCAAGTAAGTTGTCAACGTTCAAATTTTATAAAGGGACAACAGCTATTGAAAAAAAGTCATGAAAGTTTATTGTGGCACCTTGTACAGCTTCTTAGTTTTTTTTTAAATCTTTGATGATAGGGATTTACAAGCAAAAAAATCTTGATTGTTTTAGATAATTTTTCTGAAAAAGTACAATCTGATTGTCTGTGTGAAGTTCACCAACATAAAATGCTGATAGGTCAGTTGGCATAAAACTAAGGCTGAAGCCATGTCAGGGATGTCTTTACCAATTTCACATTATTAGAGATAATAACTGAGAGCAAGTTAGGTGTCATGATTTAAGGTGCTGGTCTAGAAACTGGGATATCGTGAATTCTGGCCCCACCTTAGGCATGAAAGCCAACTGAGTGACTTTGAGCCAGTCACTCTCTCTTAACACAACAAACCTCAAAAAACTGTTGTTATGGAGGAAATAGGAGGAAGGAAGAATACTGAATATGTTTGCTGCCTTGAGTTGTTTATAAAAATAATAAAGGCAGATGAATAGTAAATACAAAATATAAAGAAATAAAATTAGGAGGCTACCGGTAATCATCTTTGTCATTCCTGCCTTCATAATACATTGTTAAACAACAGGTTTTCAATATATGGGAGGCTATGGATACAACTGGAGCTTGGAAGAAAAAAAACTATTCTGGGTAAAAAGTGTTTCAAGTATCCCCTTTTATACAGGTATGTGTGCTTTTATTCCTTTTCTCTTTTTCATCTTTTGCTAACTTACTCTCCTTGATCACTGCTTTTGTCAAGGTCTTTTTTCTTTTAGCAAAGCTCTGTCATGTAATTATGTCAACCGTCCCACTCAGTCATCTAGTAAAAAAAGACTTCTGGGCATTTGTTTTTGCCAAGAGTATATTTTACTATTTTTTTCCATACAAACAATACAAAGTCAATTTTCCCCATCCCCCGGTTATCTTAAATGTCCAATTAGTATATTCTTTAGGAAACAGTTTCTCAGTTCCCAGCTCTGCATATCAATAGTTGACCTTGGCTGTCTGTAACTTCTCACAAAGCTCAGCTGGGCTTCCATCTCTCCCATCTTCCTCACATTCCAATCTTTCACTCTCACTCTCCCCCACCCACCCCCACCACACCCCCATTGCTAATGTCAGGCTCATGAAGCTTGGATAGGTGAGATGCAGCCAAGACAATCTCACCTTTCTCTTTTTTATCAAAGAGTGTTCTGGGTGTATATAAAGTTCAGTGGATTCTGTGCAAGGGAAGGGATTTGCCAACTGCTATGTTCAAAGAAGAACCAAGGGGCAAAATGGTGTCCAAAGATTTGCTATTTTTACATTCATATTAGAAGCCTCTATAGAGAGATTTCAAAATAGATTCATGAATGGAATTCCAAGAATAATACAATCATACTCCGAATAATATCCAGATTTCAATTACACATGTGCTGGTTTCACTGGCAAAGTTCTAAGTAATTTACAGCTTAACTATCTGACCTTAAAATTTGGTGGAATTTTGGTATATTATTTATTTGCTGAGTTTGAATGAATAAGCAACATTTTGTAAGTTTTGAATGCATCGTGTTTGTTGCTCATGTGTTAAGTAAGAAGCAAACAATGCTCAAAAGAAATAAGTATTTTTCTGTTTACAAATTATTCTGTTTTGTTATTTTTCACATTGCTTAACTCTTTTTTAAATGACAGGAAGAGATTTCATTTCCCCCAGACGTAGGAAAAAACAATTATAAATATCCCTCTGTGCTAAACAGCAACAATAGATCACTATTCATTAACTTGTTGAAAGGTTTCACATTTGTTTGTGACTGTGAACACAAATGAAGCATGATGCTCCAATATAATAATGCATATGATATATGCCGAGGAAATAGCAATCTGGTATGGAACATACACAATGAGTTGTTTTTTATTTGAGAAAACTGAACCAATAATTCATCATTGCTACAAGGCTATGAACTGTATATCAAGAAACACAGAGTGCATTGTGTGGGAAGACTTCGGTCTACTTTGTGAACGATAAGCAAATGTTCAATGTTTAAGAGCCAATTTGCTTAATAAGGTGACAATGAATGATAAGCAAATGTTCAATGTTTAAGAGCCAATTTGCATAATAAGGTGACAAATATGCAAATAATTACAAAATTAAAACCCACAGACAAACTAAGAAGAACAATTCCATACATAAAGGCTACCCATGAAGGTACATATTGAAAGAAAGTGAAGCTTATCTTTCAAATAAGACACTTTTGAGTATTCTTCCACAGGGATATTTGACTCAAGTCTTTCAGAGAAATCCTAAATCTATCTCCCATAAACTATGGCATGGAAGGTTTTAGAAAAACACTGACTATATATTTTTTTTAAAAAAACAATGCTAAGCTACAGTTGAATGTGGTAAGAATTTCATAGAAGTAGAAATTCTAATTCTTCTGTCTTGCAGGAAAACTGTAAGTTTAAGATGAAAACATATTGCTAGTATGTTTGCATTTCTCATTAATTTTAATTTAGTATAATACCCCATTCTTTCATTATGATTTATGGAAACGAGCCTCATTTCCACTAATCAGACTTAATAATACAGTTTGCCCAGAGTTTGGAAGTTTGGAAGTTTATTTATATGCCGCCCTTTTCCCTGGGGGGACTCCCTGGGGGGAGTTAAGATGACATAATAAATTGTGGTTAATGATAGATGCAAAAGTTTCCAAACTTCTCATTGTTATGCTGACAAGACTATTGGCAGAGCCCAGGCATGAAATTTGGCAGAAACGGGCTTTTGTATGTAGTATGTTGGGAGGTAGGAGGTCCTTTAACAAGTAATTGAAGTTCCGAATTTTCCAGCCACTGCAGTTAATTACAAGAATACCAGCAGCTCTTTAGGTCTACAAACTAGTTGACAGCAACCTTTTTAATTACAACTAATTATTAAGGTAGAAATACTACAGCCCTACCCAGGTAGAAAATTAAATGTAAACTAGTTTACAAGAGAAAAACAACAATAATCTCATATTTACAATATAATACATACCCTTTTAACAGCATGAATAATATATTTTGCTGAGTACAGATGTATTCAACTGTGGGTGTTCTAGTACCAATTTGTCTTCTCAGAATATTATTAAATATTTGAGCCACATCCTTTTTGCCCTATCAAAAATACAAAGTAGGATGTTATGTTGGTACATTACATACAGTGCAGAAATAACACTAGAAATATATAACTTCACTTTGTGTTTTAAAGGCAAAAACTAATTGATTCAATAGAAAGACTTGTATTTTATCACTATTTGTATAAACTATATATTTTATAAATTAAATATATATTTTTATTCTCGACTGAATAGCCAATATAATTAGTTAGTTACAATGCTCTATCAACTTTTTATTGCCTTATTTTTACCAAACTAATTTCTGTATGCAGGATTTTATTTTCTCCAACAATAAAAGCCTTTAGCTACTGCTTTCATCTGTGACTGATATTTACATCCTAAAGCTATAGAAGAATATTTCTATTTGCCACCAAGACTCCAACTTCTCCAGTCATCATAGTTTACACCATGTTCATCTTGAGTAGCTCTAAATTTATTGTTGGCACATCAAAATAGAATATTTTAAATCCCTTTGAAGGAATAAGCCACACAAGTGTTTGTATTAACCACAATTCTCTATTCTATACACATAGGCAATACGATTCTCCTCCTTTTACATATATTATTTAGGTTTCTTTGTATTTCATTGTATTTATTCACAGGAGGTAAGAAAGCAAATGTTTTCTTAAAGGTTGTTGGTTATATTACTAAGGGAGCAGAGATGAGACTACAGGAATAAATGTTGCAAAATATATTTCTGTAGAAAGACAAGAGGCACTGACTGACTACAGTCCAAATACAAATATTTGTAATTTCATTGTAAACTTACTCCAAAACAGGAAACAAGTTTCTAGAAACTACTTCACTCAAAGTGAATATCACAATAATCAAACATTACTCAATACCCCTGCCAACTCTGCCTCAAGTCTTGTGATTTTTTTTCTGGATTCATCATCAATGCCAGCAGTTGTCATAAGAAACTTGATTATGAGGAACAGCAACACTTTATATGTTTGAACTATTTTCTACTTCTAAATGACATAATTTCATCATGATAATGATGATAATAATTACACATATTACATTGGCAGTGCTGAAAAAGAAAAGTTCCATGTTTTTGATGCAAACAGCAAAAATTTAATAGTTTTTAAGCATTTGTCTTCAATGTGAAAGAGTTTATAATCATATTCTGTATCTGTCAAGAATACTGAAGATCAAATGTACTGTTAAATTTTAGTCTAAAATGACCATTGGCTTCTCTGTGGGCTGCGAAGGAGTGTCCAAGCATGGGTTAATTACAGCCAATCTGCCCAGGACTGAATTGAAACTTTTAGCCACGCCTCTGGCACTGACCAGTCTCTAGTTTTTTTCAATGAAGGCGTGGAACTGTTGCGGGCTGAGAAGTTGATCAACGAAGTCCATACTACAAATCCACAACAAGATTGTAATGGATGTCCATATGGCCAGTCCAAAATGTCTGCAACGAACATCAGAGACAGATCCCAGGGAGGGGTTGGACTCTCCTATGCAGCGCACAGAAAAGGACCCTTCAGGTAAGCCAATGGTCATTTTCCTGTGCGCTGCTTGGAGAGTCCGAGCGTGGGATATACCCAAGCTAAATGTCACTAGGGCAGGGAACTGCTGAGTCCAGGGTCTCTCCACTGGTATGAATGCTCTGAAGGACTCGCCTCCCAAATTCCCCCTCCGCAGAAGCAAATTTGTCCAATTTGTCTGAACAAACGGAGACAAGGAAGTCCAAGTTGCCGGCCAGCATATCTCCTCTATTGGTCCCTGGGTTGCCCAGGCCACTGTGGTGGTGGCAATTCTCATAGAATGTGCGGTGATATGGCGTGGCACTGGCTTGGATTGGAGGATGTGGGCTAAGGTAATGCATGCCCACAGCCAACGCCCAATGGTAGGAGAAGAAACTTTGCGGCCTTGGGATGCAGGTTGAAAAGATACGAAGAGCAATTCAGAATGTCGGAATGCAGCCATGCGTTTGATGTACTTGCATAGCGTCCTCAGGTGCTAGAATTGTGGATAAGGCAGTCACCTGACGCCTGAGAGTGTTAGGCGCCAGGCCCTGGTCTAATCCGTCCTGCAAAAAGTTCAATATTTGTGGAACCATAGCCAAGGTTGCCTCCACCTCGTGTGCTGTGCAACAGCTGTCAAAAGACCTCCAGGTGGAGTCATATATTATGGTCATGGAAGGTCATCTGGATGCCTGAATGGTGTGAATGACCTTGGTGGAGAGTCTGCCCCTACTCAGGAGGAATCTGCCAAGGTGGGTTGATGGAAAGACTCACCAGGTCGGCAAACCAGGTTTGTCTGGGCCAGAAAGGAGCCACGAACAGGACCTCCGGTTCCTCCGACAGGATCTTCCAAATCACCCTGGGGAGAAGAGGTAATGGTAGAAACACATATAGCAGTCCTGGTGGCCACAGACAGTGAAGAGTGTTGACCCCTTCGGTTTACGGGGTTTGAAACCTGGCAAAGAACCTGGGAAGGTGTCTTCTCCGGGGTAGCGAAAAGGTCGACCAGCGGCTGGCCGGACCTCTGAAACAGGTCCGGATGCAGGCGCCACTCCAAGTGGTTGACCGTGGCCCTTCTCAGGCAATCAGCTTGAATGTTGTTTACCCCGGAGATGTGATCTGCCTGGATTGAGCATAGATGCCTTTCTGCCCACCTTCCCAGGGATTTGGCCTCTGCCATCAGCGATCTGGATCGTGTGCTCTCCTGGAAGTTTATGTGCGCCTTGGTCGCTACATTGTCCATAAGAATCATCACATGGTGTCCCTGGATGCTGCTATGGAAGTGAATAACGGCAAGCCTCACTGCTCTCAGCTCCAGCCAATTGATGCTGTGTGCTATCTCGGCTGTCGACCACCTGCCTTGCGCTATGTGGCTGTGGAGGTGAGCTCCCCAACCAAAGAGGCTGGCATCCGTCGTGATGATAAGGTGGTCTGGCTCCTTGAAGGTGCTCCTGGCCAGGGCGGGAGACAGCCACCATTTTAAGGATTGACATACCCGCGATGAGACCGGAATCAATGCCGGATAATTGCTCTCATTAGTCCTTTGGTAAGGTAAGAGGTGCCACTGGAGGTGCCGAGAGTGAAGCCACGCCCAGGGCATAATGGACAGGCAGGATATCCTTTTGCCTAAGAGCTGGGACAACTGAACAATCGTGGCTTGAGAAGATCACTGTATCTGCAGGACCCAGTCGATGCTTGCCATCCGCTGTGGTGACAGGGAGACCTAACAGCCCACGGTGTTGATGATGGTGCCGAGATGCTGCAGCCTGGTAGTCGGCTCTAGATTATTTTTTTCTCTATTAACCGAGAACCCGTGATCCTGGAGGATTCTCATTGTATACTGAAGGTCTTGCACTGCTTGTTGGCGGGATGATTGGATGACGATGTCGTCCATGTAGCAATGAAGCCGCACTGGACGAGATCTGAGGAAAGCTGCTACCGCTGCAAGGATTTTGGTGAACATCTGGGGGGAGGGACGATGACAGGCTGAACAGAAGAACCCTGTACTGTTAGTGGTGGCCTGCATAAAAGAACCTAAGGAATCTGCAGTGAGCCTTGCAAATGGGGATGTGAAGGTACGCCTCTTTAAGATGTATAGATGTTAGTAGATCTCCCGGCCTGATGCAGCCCAAGATTGACTGGAGGGACTGCATCTTGAACCTCCTGTATCCTATGTGATGGTTCAGCTTTTTAAAATCTAGCATTCCCCTCCACCACCACTACCCCCGGAGTTCTTTGGGACAAGGAAGAGTATGGAATAAAACCCTGTCCCTTCCTGTCCTGGTGGAACCGGTTCTATGGCCTTGATGTTCCTGAGATGAAGGATCTCCTGTTCCATGAGAGTCTTCTTGATCGGGCAAGAGGGGGTTGGGCATCGAATGAAGTGACAAGGAGGGGATAGGAACTCTAAGGTCAGACCTACGTGGATGGTTTGCAGGACCCACTAGTCTGATGTGATTTACTCCCATTGGGTGTGGAACAGTTGAAGACACTCTCTGATGAGAACCATCTGCTGATGGTCACTTATTTCGCCTGAAGGGTCTGGAGCCAGACCCTCCGCGAAACGGACATTTGGAGATGTTCTGCTGACAACCCCTGTCATGAAAAGGCTGACAGTCCTGGGACCTGTCTGTGCCCTGGGAAAAGGAACGTTGAAAGGAACTGGAGCTGGAAGACAGCTCTGTGTTCCAAGGGCTGCCTTCTATAGAAGCTAGAACCCTTAGGATCAGACTTCTTTGTGACTGAAGGTATGATCTTCTTCTTGTCTTTATTTTCAATAAGGACAGGATATAGGGCTCCCCAAAGAGCTTGCCCCCTTTGAATGGAGCAGAAGCAAGCTTCCACTTGGACCTCATGTCCACGTTCCAGTGTCTAAGCCATAAAAGGCGACAGGTGGTGCTGTTGGAGGCTTGGGCCCTAGATGCAAACTTAGCGGCGTTCAAAGTGGCGTCAGCCATGTATTCTGTTGCCGCAATGATCTTACTGACATCCTTCCTTAACTTAGTGTCCCCAGCCGTAGGTTTGGTAAGCAGTTGCTTCAACCAAAGGAGGGAGGCCCTGGATAGAAGGAGGCAGAGGCTGACGTCTTAATCACCCAAGCCACTGCCTAGTGGGTCTTGTGGCAGTCTTTCTCTGCTCTTTTGTCCTCCACTTTGAGCCAGGAGATCGGGGAAGAGCAATGAGGAAGAAGTGAGAGCTGCCACCAGGTGATCTACAGGAGGCAGCTTCAGTAAGTCCTCCAGACTCGTATCCACCTTATATAATTTCCTGTCGCTACCACTAGGGGTGGCAAGGGTGCCTGGCTGCACCCATTGCTTCTGCATGACATTGAGGAACAATTTCAGGATAGGCACAATCTCCTGTGCTGGGACTGGCTCCTCGCAGAGGTCCTCACTAAGGTCCATGGGATCAGGGGCTGTCTGAACTGGGGGGGGGGGAACCCAAATGGGTTGAGGCCTTAGCCTTATTCAAGATAGTCTTGAAATGGGCATGCTTGAACAAACCAGTAAACGCGGGCTTGTCAGGAATAGCCCCCTCATCCCCCAAAAACTCAGGCTCTGGATCAGGATGTCTTCCTCCTCCCAGGCCGAATCCTCACTTGCCAATGGGGAGTGAGGAGAAGATGGTGGGCATTGGGCCAGAGGAGCCACCTGGGTCGAACCTTGGGCCAAGTCTGGGTGGAACCTGCGCGGGTGTTTAGCCCGTTGCTGCATGCCTGCTTCTATCCCCTGGAAATAACCTCCTGAATCTCTACTGAACGATCGGGGCCCTGATCCTCTGCAGGGCAGCCCCTGGCGGGCAGCTGAATGACTGGCTGATGGGGTGCTAAGGAAGCAATGTAAGTAAAAGAAAAGGCAAAAAATAAAAAAATGGAGAGAGAGTCCAAGCTATTTGCAAGGATGAAGAGAAACTTGAAGCCCGTCCACTGGGCTGACTGAATTGAAAAAAACTGGAGACTGGTCAGCACCAAGAAAAGTTTCAATTCAGTCCTGGGCAGATTGGCTGTAGTTAACCCATGCTTGGACTCTCCAAGCAGCGCACAAGAAAATAGAAAACATCCTTTTGATAGAAAAGTATATATGCATATCTCTAAAGATATATTTCATTATTAGGTTATACAAATGTAATTCATTCTATCAAAACAGTTAGATAAAGGCAAGGCTTCAAAGATTAGGCAACAAGTTTTGCACTCTCCCATTTAACATCTGTTTTTGAACATGTGTTCTTCATAGAATAGTAGGGTTGGTAAAGACCTTGGAGGTATTCTAGTCCAACCCCTTGCCCAAGACAGGAGTCCTTATACCATCCCGGACAAATGGTTATCCAATCTTTTCTTGAAAATCTCCAGCAATGGAGCACCCACAATTCCGGGAGGCAAAGCATTCCATTGATTAATTGTTCTCACTGTCAGGAAATTCCTCGTTTCCAGATTGGACCTCTCTGACATGTTCCAGTTCTTATTGCTTCTGAAACACAGGGAGCTTTCAGATACAAGTCACTTATGATACAGAGAAGAGAAAGTGGTTTGCTTCTCAAAAAACTCCAATTGGCATTAACTTTTTTCATCCTGTCATCCAGAGTTCATAGTTTGTTATATAAAAATCACATATAACTAATAATATAGATAATGAGAGAGAAACCACATTCCCACAATGATAGCTTATCAGCAGTTTTTATTTTCCCATTAATAGAATAGCCAAATGGAATTAATTGGCATAGTCAGGTTTTGGGGAAACGATTCATTCATCTTGTTGCTGGAGGTGTTTGTTTTTTTCTTTAAATGAATCCCTCAACTTGTCCATGAGCCTCAATGAGTACCCAACTATGCAAAATGCTTGCCAGTTCTGGAATGTTCTAGGGCACTTTCAGTTCTTGTTGACAAACTGTGTGTGTTTCATAATCTTATATAACTATATGTACGAAGAAATCCTTTTATACCTAAAAAGACAACAGTGTGGGGGGGGTTCTGCTTTATAGTAATGAATTAGTTTAGTTTTCAAAAGGCCTTACAATAGATACAAGGAATAATCCATAAATCCAATAGAAACCCAATTTCTCCCCATATTCTACACATGGAATTACAAAAAAATTTTTTTTACTCTGGTCTTTGCTGAGATTCAAATCTGAAATTACCGTTAGTACATATTTTCCTACCTCAAAATCAATGAGTTGTAGATCAGCGACTAGGGTGCTAAGAAGACCACTGTTGTATAGTTCTTGAGCAAGCTGAGCTACAGCTTCTGTCTGAGGTTCCTTTTCATTGGTGCCATATAAAATTTCTTTCATGGCAACTAAGTTTTTTGAAACTTCTTCGGTAGCCTGTACAAGGAAAAAAAGCCTAGTTATTTTTAAAGCTGAAAATCTTTTGCTCACTAATTTTACTGCTTTTTTCATTTCTTTTGAAATTTATATTTACAATAAGATTCAAAGAAAACAGCAAGCAACTTAACAAAACACTAATGAAAGAGAAAATCTGTAGCATATTCATCAAATTGTGAAGGGGCTTCTCATTCTGCATTTTAAAAGGGTGGTTCTCTAATGTTACAAAATATCATAAAATTAATGCCAAAGAACATATTTAGTCATTAAATAATAGTATTATTAATATATAAGACTGTCTTTCAAAAAAAAACCAATTTACTTACCTCTTGAATCAAATCCTTATTTGAAATTCTTGAAGTCCAAAATTTTCAAAAATAATTCTCTCAGCAATACCAAAAACTCAATATGACTTATTAAAACAATAGCATCTTTATCATTGTAAAACATCTCCCAGATGTCTTTGGAGATTTTCAGAACCGAATAAGCTTCTTAGATGAGAAGTGAAATGTTTTCAAGGAAAAATAAAACAAGAAATTCCAGTTGCCTTTTGGAAAAATACCTGATTTCCCAAATATTAACCTGAACAATTCAGGAATTGAAGATATCTCGTTTAGCCACTTTACTTCTCCAAAACTCCATTAAAATACTTCCAAATCACACCTTCATTTTTATTATAAAGTTTCTTATTTATGAGCCTATAAAAGACAAGTAGAATATCCTTGTTTGCTTTTAATTTTTTTGGCTTTTATAGTCCATAAAAAGACAGGTGCCCAAGCTATTTCGTACACTTAAATACATTTAGTTTTTGACATATCAAATATATGTCACCAAATGGTCACCTTGGAAAGGCCTGCATATTCCCTTATGATGGGAATATCCAGTCACAAAACTCAATACTCCAGAAAATAAAGAGAAAGGGGAAAATATGAGTATTTAGAAATGAACAGAGCAATTACTGAAAGCCAGCATGGGTTTGTCAAAAACAGATCATGTCAGATGAACCTCATTATCTTCTTTAATAAAATGACTAAATTAGTTAAACAGGGAAGTGTTTGTGCGCTCTCTCTCTTTCTCTCTGTCTCTCTCGCACGCACGCACAACAGTAGTTTAGTGGGTTTATTAATATCCCCCAGCAATTCCTTTCACCAAAACCCCAGAATTGTCCCAATTAAGTCCAGCCAAAAGCAGTCTGTTGCCAGTCCACAGAGCAATGGCCAATGAGTCCACAAGGCACTTGAAAGATCCCAATCAAGATGAACCCACTAGGCAAACCCAAATCCACAATACAAGAGGGTTCACAAGGCAAGAAAAATCCAGAGTTCACAAGGTGTGATCCACGTCAAGGCACAGTATCAATCCAAAGCAAGGCAGGAATCACAACATCTAGGAACCACACAGTTAGAAAATGAACACATTGTTCCCAGCATTGCCTCCATCTGTCTGCTGTGCTAAATATCCAGCTTCACTGCTCCTGCCTTTTCTCTGCCCTATGTGTTCTCAGATCAAGTGTTGAAGGGTTCCACAGAGTTAGAAAATGAACACATTGTTCCCAGCATTGCCTCCATCTGTCTGCTGTGCTAAATATCCAGCTTCACTGCTCCTGCCTTTTCTCTGCCCTATGTGTTCTCAGATCAAGTATTGAAGGGTTCCTCTTCCTCATTGCTGACCATCTGCAGTGGCATGCTTTTCCCCACCAGAAGTCTCAGGGCTGTCCTGCTGCAGCTGTGCTTCAGCCAAATCCCTTTCAGACAGATGTTTGGAGCTGTTGACCAACCCCTCTCCAGACATACCCAGAACTGGTTCACCCTCCTCCAAACTGGCATCTGGAGAGGTATCTGGGGGAGTCATCACTATGCTGTGGATATAGTATCCTTGAATTTCAGTCAGGCATTTGACAAAGTAGACCACAGTATACTTCTTGGCAGATACAACAATGCAGAATAGACAGTCTTCAATGGAACTATATCTATGTGGAAAGGAACATGAAGTGGGGTACCTCAAAGTTTGCTTTGGGCCCAATGCTCTTCAACATCTTTATAAATGATGTAGATGAGGGGATAAAACTCATCAAATTTTCAGGTGACACTAAGCTGGGAGGAATTGCCAACACTTTGGAAGATAGACTCAAGATTCAAAAGGATTGTGACAGATTGATCATTGGGCCCTATCCAAGAAGATGCAGTTCAGTGGTGAAAAAATAACATCCTCTACTTAGGCATAAGTATAGTATAGGAGCAACTTGGCTCAACAGTATAACTAAGAGTGAGCTAGGTGGAACACTGATTATGTATGAGCCAGCAGTGTGCTGAAACTGCCAAAAAAGCCAACACAGTTCTAGACTGCATCAACAGAGGAATAGCATCAAGATCACAGGAAGTGATAGTACTACTCTATACTGCACTAGTGAGGCCACATTTGGAATACTATGTCAAGTTTTGGTCACCATAACACAAAAAATGATACTGAGACCCTAGAAAGAGTGCAGAAGAAAGCAACAAAGATAATAAGGGGCTTGGAGTCTAAATTATACAATGAACAGTTGTGAGAACTAGTTATGTTTAGACTAGTGAACAAAAGGTTCAGTGGAGACATGATAGCAGTCTTCCAATACTTGAAGGGCTGTCATAGGGAAGAGGACATCAATTTTCTATAGCACAAGAAGCAATGGATGAAAGCTCATCAGAGGCAGATTTAACCTGGAAAGAAGAAGGAATTTCCTGACATTGAGAATGATTAATCAATGGAACAGCTTGCCTCCTGGAGTTATGGGTGCTGCATCACTGAAGGTTTTCAAGACATTTGTTAGGATAGTATAAGAACACTTGTCTTGGACAGGGGATTGAACTAGAAGACCTCCACCAAGGTGTTTTCCAACCCTACGATTCTATGAAAGGAAAAGGAAAAGAAAAAGGAAACCAGATAGATTGGTAGGAGCAAAGGGCATTATTTTAGGGACATTACAGTGATAATGATGAATGTCTGAAGGATGTAAAAAAAAATCAGGCATCATCTAAACATAATCTCCTGGAAGGATAAAAAATGCCAGGCAGAAAGAGGAGACAGACAGTTAATTAAGCTCACACAGTTAACTATTTATAGCATCAAGAGCAATTTTACACACCACAAGCACACTGCCTATTTAAAAATAAATGCTGAGGTTAACCAAAAAGATAGAATTAGATCAACATATATTCAGAAGCAGACAAAAAATCACCCTAATATACCAGCCACACTTGTATGGATCTATTTAGGATTCTGCTCCCAAAATCCCAAGAAAAGGTTTCTCTCCTTCGAGGGATATAACTGAAACCAAAAACAAAAAGACCTTGAGTTTTGCTTATTATGTTCAAGTCAGGATACAAGTTTGTCTCTAAACCAGACTCAAACTACAGTTTGTTCTTGGCTTCTGTTCAACATTTTTTGAGGAAAACTGCTTATGAAATTACACTGCGTAAAAAATTACACTTCATAAAAATTGTACAGGTGCATACTGTGTATGCATTTTTAAACTGTGAATTACCATGAGAAAGTCAGGAGAATGCAATATTGGTTTTATGACTTCATTTTGAATTATAAATTTGAAAAAGTAAAATGACCTCTCCTCATTTCCCCTGCTTTATATATGCAGGAAAAATATGGTTAATCATTTAAATTGTTTTACCAGTGCAACAAGTTCTGCATGCAATCCATACTTCATAAAGTATGATAAATTTAAATAAATTTTATTAGATTTTATACTGTTTCAATTATGTGAACTTTGGCAGTATACATATATAACAAATATATTAAAATGCATAACAAATATTTAAAAAATAACATAATAATATAATTTGAATTTTTAACTTTGAAAACAATTATTTCACTATAATTACATCTTCACTAGATATGGGGGAAAATGTATATATACACCTTACTTTTTGGAGTATAAGACACACCAAGATTTTGAAGTAAATTTATAAAAAAAGGTTTTGCACTCTGCAGGCCTTCCAAACCCTCCGCATGCTTCATTTTTTGTGAAAAACGGGGCATGCAGAGAGTTTGAGAAGCCTGCAAAGTGCTCCTGGGGGCAGGGGGAGGGGGATGAGCAAAAAACGGTCCATTTTTTGTAATATGGGCCCGGTTTTTTGTTTGTTTGTTGTTTGTTTGTTTTGCAAAAAACAGGGCATACATAGGTTTTGGGAGGCTTGAGAGTGCTCCTGTGAGTGGTGGAGTGGCAAAAACAAGCAAAAAACGGCCAATTTTTCACTTGTTTTTGCCCTCCACAGCCCACAGGAGCACTTTACAGGCCTCCCAAACCCTCTGCACATCCATTTTTTCAAAGGGGGTTTTGGGAGGCCAAAAATGCTGTATTCAGTGTATTAGACGCACCCAGATTTTCACCCTTTTTTGAGGAAAAAAGGTGCGTCTTATACTCTGAAAAATATGATATGTAAGTAGGTACACACATACAAAAGTAATGTTAGCTATCTCCTGAAGTAATTCCTTTAAAATCCATTTGTTTTTATGTGCTTATGTGGTTATACTAGACTACTTTTCATAATAGGAAAATGGGAATATAGATTTTTTTTCGGCTTTCCAAAACTGAAGCAGGAAATGGAGGAAAATTGTGTTCTCAGATTGTGAAGGTTTTAAACTAAGAAACAGAATTCTTAGTTAAGGAGAAGCCAGAAAGACTACTTTCTTCTTTTTTTTTTTTAATTAAATGTTTTTTAGTTTTAGTTTAAAACTGGTACAACATCTTTCTTAATATATCAATCAATTACAGATAATACAGAAAAAGACAAAAACAACAATCAGAAAAACAAAACAAAACACAGGTGTCTATTATGAAAAAATAAGAAGTATATCAACTGGTTACAACATGTTTTGGTGCTTCTCTTCCGTTGACTCCTATTAATTCAAATATCTTAACTCGAATATTTACCATATCAACATCATTATACCTCCGGTTTTAAATATTATAGTTATTTAAACATCCTTCATCCTTAGTTATGCTAAGGAATTACTCCATAACACATGCTGGCAGTTCATTTACTTATTTATAAAATCCTCTATTATCATCAAATCCTCATATTCTATTTTAACTAAACATCCATAATATTCAATTATATCATATATCCTAACATTTTCCAAATATTGATTAACATTTAATTATATGGATTTTATTTAGTTTTTTAATAGTGCTAATTATTATAGTAATACTCTTTATGTATAACCTAAAGGTATTTTCTCATATCCAATTGTTAGTTATCATATCAACTCCACATTATACACATTACTATTAATATCAATTATTATTCAGCAATATCTGTTACACACTACTTTCTTCTTTTAATCAACCAGTCCTCTTTCTGAAAAGTGAAAGAAGATACAGATAGTCCTTGACTTGTGCTCACCAATGGGACCAAATTTCAGTTGTAAATTGTTGTTGTCATTAGTCAAGGGACTCACGACTGGACCCAATTTATGGTTTTAATGGCAGTTATTATGTAAATCATGAAATCATAGATCTGAATCATACTGCAATCATTATGTAAATCCATTCTCCCCAAAGTCATGTGATTGCAGAAAGGGCAGAAAGGTTAGGAGTGCTTTATGGGCTGTAAAGCACCCTTCCTAGTCTGTTGTAATTTTGAATGGTCATTAAATGACCATTCATAAGCTGAGGACTACTTTTATTGGAGAAAGATATTTTAAGCAAGAACCGCGTGTGAAGGATTCCAGGCCTAACTCAGAAGTGTTGCAATTTAAATATTGCATTATGACCATGAAATCTTCCTTCATGACTACTACTCCTAGGCATTTAGTCCAGGGAAATATTTTGTGAACATAAAGTTACCATTTCAACTGAGAAGCAGATTAGTTGGACAGGGATTCTGATAGATTAATAGACTAGTAATAGATTAATAACAGTGGGGTATCAACTAGGAAAAAAAATCAGGTGACAGTGAAAATGCAGACAGGAAAGTAAGGAAAGTTTTTGTTGAAATGTGTTATAAATGTTTATCTAGGAGCAGAGAAAATTTTCAGAGAAAATATAAATGCTATTAAAGTAGTGCTGATAACAAATGTGTTGGAAAAGCTTGAACAGCAGTACATTTCCCACGTAATGTCCAGAAAAGCTGCTACAAAGGCAGTAATCATTATTTGCCAAAAATAAAACAACAGATTCTGCTGCTGAGGATTAACAAAAATGTTTGGGAAAATTTGTACTGTTAAACAATTCCTCCAGGACAGGTTCATAAAAAGTAAATGTAAATGTTACCTTTTCTACCTTCTTGTCAGAAATATCTTGTTTTTCTAGAACTGCCATGCTTTCTTTCAAATTCTTCACTATGTCTGCAGGAGACTTGTGTGATTTGCCAAAGGGAAATGGCATGCTTGCAAACGACAAGGGTCTTTTCTTCTAGAAGTCTTCTTTTATCTGAAAATTAAGAAGGAAGAGAGTTAAGAGTAGTAAAGAAAGCATATAACATCTGGATACAAAAAGTGGACATCATAACATTTGTTAGAATTGAGCCTGAGATTTTCAGTTCCAAATTAAAGCAGAACACTGAAGTAAATGCATAGAGTATAACAGCATAACTTTAGTTCTGCAGAAGTTAGCATTCTCTATAAAATTATAATTTATCCTTCCCAAATTAATTAATTTTCAAATTAATATCTTACAGTTACAAAACCGATTGTGACTTTTATTAATATTTTGGGCAATAAACTTTCAAAAAATCCACTTGCAGACCACTTATTTTAAACTACCGATCAGAAGCATCTTAAATATGCAAAATATTATCTTTACACAACAGGATCCCCAACCCCTGGACTGCAGACCAGCACCAGTCTGTAGCCTGCCAGGAACTGGACCATGCAAGCAAGCAAGGCCCAATCCATATATGCACAAGATACAAGCAATGAGCAAAACCATGTATTCCCTGACCCACAGAAAAACTACCCTCCATGGAACCAGTCTTTGAAACCCCAAAGGTTGGGGACAGCTGGTATAGAACTCTTCCACACAATTTTTGCAGTTTTCTTTTTTAATTTTATAAAATATACAGGTGGTAGCTACTGCCCAAAACGTATCTGCTTTAGAAACTGAGCAAGATCAGGCTTCATTAGCAGCTGAGCAAGACAGTTCCAGAGAATACCATGTCTGGAGGCATGACTGATAAGTCAAAAAAGACATCCTGGGAGAAGGCAATGGAAAGTCACTTCCATATTGTTGCCGAAAAGATAGATTATTTGTAAGGTTATCGGCACAGGAATCAAGTTTAACCTGAATTTATTTAATTAGTTTTTCCGCATCCAAGTAGGTGAAAGTGCTATTTAATAATTAATCCCTTAAGTTACTTTATGACTGGGCTTCCAGAGGAATCTGTTGGACAAAAAGGAACAAAACAGCCTTTTCTTTAAAAAAGCTAAGGGGCTGTTTACAAAAAAAGCTTGGTGAAGCTAAGGTTACATAGCAGCCCCATGAAATGTAGTCAGAAAGAAAAACATAATTGCCTAGCTATCCCTCACTAATCTCAACCAACATAGTTAAGGCTGGCTGGGAACTTTTCGAGGTGGAATTCGAACATTTCCAGAGGAATTACCGTAGGTTTGGTGGGCTGCCCCGTTCATAGAGCAATTTAAATAATTATTGGAAACAAATGTAAACAATTAAATGTTAAGAAACATCATTTAAAATGAAGGCTAAATGAGAAATTGACCAGCAGAGATATTTGAATGCAGAAAAGCATTCTTGAACATTAGAAGATAGGGGTTCATAACATTAGATTATTGAGTACATAGCAAAATGAATATTAAAATATTCTAATTAGATAATATAATTAAAGCAATATTTTTAATCCTGGAAAAATACCTGTTCCAAATCATCTGTTACTATTTCTCAAATACTATGAGACATCCCAATACCACAGACATTGATTATTTGAAAATATTTTTCATTAATTATTAAGCAACTAGTTTTATATTCCTTGTTTTTATGAATGACAGAATAAAAAGAAACCTACTTAGCAAACAGCTGTCATTTTTTGTCAGCAGCTGAGAAGTGCCAAATCAAAAACATGCACAGAGGTGCATAATATTCAAGAAGCTATAAAAATATATCTCCTTAAATCTATTTTATGGAAAAGGGAAACAGATAAGAAGAATTAGGAGCTATGTGATATTTATGAATATAGGAAAGTTAAATAACGCCCTGCACAACTCTACTTTTCAACATCAGCAGCCGTGCTGGGACTGAAGTAAGGCCTGGAGTCTTCAGTTTCAGCTGTCTGCTACTGAACCTCAGCTTCACCCCTAGTGGCACCTCTGCCAAGGAGTGCTGTCTCAAGCTCCATGCCATGGTCAGGTACACCAGTATCACAGAGCAATGGTCCCATCGCCTCCACTACCCTGCACTCCAAGGTCCCGCTATGTCCAGCTGACCATAGCTGCCTTCTGCTGCTGAGGCCAGCCCAACCCTATCTTAAGGCAACTGTTGGCTGCACCAGGCCTCCTTCGCAAATCTGATTGTACCATTCTCCAATTTTTATGATGCTTCAGAAGATCTCAGAAGCTTTCCAGAGGTTTTCTGTAAAGCAATGGCAACCAGCTGAGGGCTGCTGCCAAGGGTTTCTGCTATACAGGAAGGCAAAAAGGGCAAAGATGAAGGTGGGGGTGGGGGAAGATAGGTGGAAAGGGGAAGTCGAAGCATCCCTGAGTTATAAGTGGCTGTCAAGCAATCAAATGTTGATTGTGATGGCAATACAAGCTGCAACTACAAAAACTAGGCATAAGTAAACATTCATTCAGCATTTTGAACAGTTGCTAAGCAACTGGACTACTAGTATGAGATACACAATTAATTAAAAAGTTTCTAAAAAATAAACATATACAAGAGTCTAAATGTTAATCATATTCAAACAGTGGATGGCTGTTTTGGCTAATACTCAAATCTTAACTACTACTTTGTCATATGTAGAGCAATTTTGAAAAGGAAGCGTTAAGGTAAAGTTGTTTCCTGTCCAGTTCTCCAATTAAAATTTAAAGCAAGTCCTGCCTGCAGGCTATAATGTTTTGAGTATGATTTCATCCAGGAGGCAAGTCAGGAGTGACCAATCATTGGGAAAGCTAAAAAGTACAAAACTCAATGAACTCTTGACATACATACTAAGTAGGTATTTAATCATTTTATATCCCCCATCTTACACCAAGAGATAGCTAATATCAAACTTCACGTAGCTTTTCTTGGTGACATAAAACCTTCAAAGCCTGCTTATTTTCAGAAAGGTAGATCTGCTGTGTGCTATAAATAATATTGATACGTTAAGAAGAATTAACTTTGCAGTTTTAACACATCTCATAATCACCAATAATTTAACAGATGAAAAATACTTAAAAATACCAAGAAAAGGTTTATTCTAACAAAAGTAACATAATTTCACAGACACCTACCCAAATTCCCACTTTCCCTGAAGTCGTGATTCTAGAACTTCTGCAGCTGAACTTTGTTCAGAAGGAAAGGAATTTATACCTTCTTTCTTTTAAAGTAAGGCTGCTGTTTATTACTTAGGAGTGGAGACATGAACACATTTAAGAGAATACACATACAGGACCGTACTATCCACTAGTTTCTTTCAATCAAAGATTAAAAATTAAAGTGCACTTTTCCTAAAGAATGACTGCATTTAGCTTTGTATGATGGTTGTATCTTAAGGTCACATGATCACCATTCATTACCTTCCCAGCCGGCTTCCAACAAGGGAAGTCAATCGGGGAAGATAGATCAGCTAAACAACCATATGATTCATTTAACAACTACAGTGTCACTTAACAACCAAGGCAAAAAAGTTATAAAATAGGATGTAACTCACTTAACAACCACCTTGCTTAGCAACAAAAAATATCGACCCAATTATGGTTTAAGTCAAGGACTACCTACACAATGTGTACTCAACATTATGGTCACTGTAGTGCCCTGTCCTTACAACCAACCACAGGGACACTGCAACTGTCCCTGCCCATCTATCTTTCCCGCCCAACTCACGCCACTGGGTCCTTTGGGCCTGGCGAGGTACCCACAGATCTTGGCCCTGCCTCCTGCCCAGGTGAATTGGGAGATTTAATAAAATATGTGAAAGCCCAAAGTCATCATTAAGAGCTTGAGATTATACCATGCTTTTTTATTTTCAAACATAATACAATTGATAATATTTGCCTAAAAAGAATTTATGATCAATATAACATTGAACTGAATATGCTCGGTTATTTTTTTAAATCATGAAGGATATTACCTTCAATCTATGAATTCATGGCTAATTATTTCTATTAGAAAATTTCCAAATTAGGATGCATCCAAGACACATGGTGTAATTAAACTATAAACATGCCTAAAGGTGAAATGTTCTGACATTGAAGGTCGAAATGTACACATTATACCACTGAATAGCTAGTAGCAGCTACTAATCTAGATTTAAATGTTAACTGGCAGATGGCAATGCTGACACAATGATCGTATTCATGGTGATCATGTGACACTATTGGCAAAGATACAGTTCCTTGCATTGTTTTTCATTCAATAGTACATGTAAACCCAAAACAAGTAACTTTGATCCTGAAACAAACATGCTGGGATATCAGTATCATGCACAATAAAGAAGAATAGAAGATTTTTTCATATATTATCTGCCTAATTGCTAATAATGAATACTAATAATGTTCAACATGATAAGAATAAAGCATTTAGCCCTTATAGAAAGGCATAAGGTATAAGTTTTAAGTCACTTTATTCAATAACTGTCCCATTATCAAATGCCATCACACCAACTTCTTTGGTTTGTTATATATAATATGCATAATGATGATAGAATTAAAAAGGCAGTTTATAGAATCAGAACTATATGGGGCCATTTAAATCATAAAATTCAACTAACTGGACATTACAGTTTGCTTCATGAATCCTTGCATAAATTGGTTTTCATATATCCCTGATCATACACTGTGTGCATGCATGTTTACTATTATTAGTGTACCTCTTGTGTAATACCGTACCAGAATTAATAAGGGGGAGGGGGTGTCTTGTTTTTTTATACCTTCAAATAAGACTTGACTCCTGTAGACTGCCTGGACAAATCCTTGCAATTTTCTTGGCAAGGGGTTTGCCACTGCCTCCTTTCCAGGGCTGAGAAAGTGTGCCTGGCTCAAGGTCACCCACCTGGCTTTGTGCTTAAGGCAGGACTGAAATTCACAGACCTGGCTTTGTGCCTAAGGCAGGAGTCAAATTCACAAACTCCCTGTTTCTAACTTGGTGCCTACACCAAATAAGAACTTATACATGGATTATAATTATAATTAATACACTATCATTACATAGATTAATGGCAATGCACTCAATGTCCATTTTGCATTTATCATCCTTTGCACAAGCTATATAAATACCAA